CTGGGATGGAATGGTGGACAAAGTTGAGATGGTTAAAGTAGGTGAATAAATGATATAGTGAGAAAATGAAAAATCTCTTGGAAAGATTCTAAGAAATAACCTATCTGACAAAGGCAGTGTGACCTAGTGGTTGAAAGCTGGCCTTGGAATCAGGAAAACCTTACTTTAAGTCCTGTCCTATGCAAGCTTTGAGACCTTGGGCAAGTCATGTAACTTCTCATTGACCCAGGCAATGCTCTAAGGCTAGAAATTATCAAGTTTCATTGGTGGAAAGAGCTTCATTAAAAAGAGAGGGAAAAAAACCCCTCAAATATACTGTCAACATAGATAAAAAATTACAGAACTGTTATTTCTCAATCACATTTCTGTCACCCCTCCTCACATGACCTTCCCTTGTAACAGATAAGTAGAGTCATATTAAGCAAAAGACACCACTTACCATGTCTGACAGTATCTACCTCATTCCATACCCATTGTCTTAAGTGTGTCTACTAATTGTAGGAAGACATGCTCCTTGGTCATTCATCTCTGGTCACAACTGGTCACTGCATTGATGAGAGTTCCAATGTCCTACAGTTATGAGATCTTTGTACAAATCATTTCCTTGGTTCTGTTTACTTTCTTCTTCATCGGCACATTCAAGACATCTTAAGTTTCTCTGAATTCTTTATACATTGTCCTTCTTATGGTACAATCATATTCATTTCCCTCATGCTCCATGACTTGTTCAGTGATTTCCCAAATCATACACACGCATTTTCATTCTAGCAATTTGCTGCCATGGAGAATTCTGCTACACATACTTTGTCATACGTTCTTCCCTCTGATTTTGATGTCCTTGGGGTATATGCCCAGAAGTGATGTCTCTTAGTGTGCAATTTAGTGACTTTTTCACGTAGGAGGAAATTCCCCACAGTGATGAAATTAGGGGCCCACTTCTCTCACCCCCAATAAGCTTCCATTCATGTTTTTATCACTCATAAGCTCATAGAGTTAGGAGATGGAAGCGACCTCAGAGGCCACCTACTTCAGCCTCCTCATTTTATAGATGAAGAAACTGAGGCTAGGAGAGAAAGTGACTTACCTGACGTCATGCAGGTAAGACCCATCACAGGTGACTTTTGAACCTAGGTACTCAGACTCTAGGACCAGCATTTTTAAAATGTATCATGTTTCCTTTCTCAATGAGTTTATCAACTAACAAGTATCTTGCCAATGTCTGCAATGTTCCAGGTATTGTATACTAGGCACTAGGGATATGTAGTTTAAAATGAAACAACAAGGACTTACAGTTTATGAGAGGAAACAGTATGTACACATGTGGAAACAAAATAAATACAAAGTCATTGGGAGTGGGGGTGGAAGTGGAGGAGGCCAGTGCTTCTGGAGGAATTAAGGGGAGCCTTCTTCCTGTAGGACAGTATTTGAGGTAAGCTTTAAAGGAAATTTGGGATTCTCTGAGGTAGAGGAGTGGATGGAGAGTATTTCAGGCATAGGGGACAAGTGATGGAGATGGAAGATGTAATATGATGTGTGAGGACCAGCAAAAGGACAGTCTGGCCAGACTGTATTGGGTTTGAAGCAGAGGACTGCTTAATCAGACTAGAAAGCTAGAGCAGGGTCACATTGTGAGGGCTTTAAATGTGGTTGAGTTTGTACTTCATGGAGGTAAGAAGGAACCACTGGCATTTATTGAATAGAGGAATGACTGCAGTTTGGGAAAATCTTTTTTTTTTCTCTTTTTTTCTTTCTCTTTTGGAAAAAAAACCCAGCTCCTGTTTTGCTTATCCAAAGCTCTCCAAATAGGTGAACTGAGGCAGGATAAATATGAATAATAGAACTCCAGAATGGTATAGTTACAGCAGGACCCACAAACCCCGCCAGGAACATTCTGGAATGCTCATTTTTTAGGACTCATTATTGGTTTGCCTATATCCTTGAGTGGCTGGCTCTGCTCTTCAAATTTCCTTGTGGCCAAATTCCTGGGATCAAATAGCTCCTGGGCTGCATTTAGGGCCCTCCATTATTCTGACTTGAGGCTAGGATAATATGGAGGATCTGAGGGATTTTTTAAAATTGTAGAACAATTGCTGAGGTCAGCAAAGGCAGAAATAAGCATACCCATTTGTCACATTTGAAAAGTGCACTGACTGAAACACTGAGGAGTGTGTGTGCATGTGTGTGCGCACGTGTGTGTGATAATGATGTTGGAGGGAGAAGCCTTACTTTGAGAAGGCTTGGAAATCAGTGACTACCTGAGGAAGGCCCCACACCCCTTCATTTCCCACCCAGATCTAGTTCCCTCGGTTCAACAAAGGCGCTCCCTTGGGATCAGCTAGCTTGCCAGCTACAAGTTGTTCTGGGGCGAACAAGGGACTAATCTCAGCTTCTTCTAGTCACATGAAAATAATTTTGAAAAAAAAAAGAAAAAAGTACAGAGATGTTAAATTGAAGTCTTGTCGTATCATTAGAGTTAAATTAATTGACAGCCTTTCAGAGGAGAAACACAAGAGTGAGGAAGAATAAACCCACGTTGAGAATAGAGTTCTTCCATTTCTTTTGCAGCTAAAGGCTGATTTTGAAACTCATTTGATTCATGCTTATCTCAATCCTGCGGACCATTTTGGGTTCCTGGACTGGTAAAGACAGAGACTCATTCCACCAACACCAGGGATATTAAATTGATCTCATTACTGTCTTCATTATTGACTCTCTTCTCAACAAAAGAAAACAAACCATTTTTCGTGCTGTTGCAATTCAGTCTTGGACACTTAGGCACTGCCTTCATCCATTAGCCATCCTACCCTCAGCCAAGGACCCTGGGGATCTGAGGCTCCAAAGAGCTTCACTAACATTTGAACTTGGAGGAAATTCCCACTGGCCAGCAGCCTCAGCTTCTGTTTCTGGTCCAGAGACACCAGAGGACAGCACTAATTCAGCCGTGATTGGGGAACACTTTTCACACAGAGGTGATCAGTTCAGTAGAGCTCAAGAAGGGCAGACAATGGCCTCATGCCAACAAGCTGGGCGATTCCTTATCTTCGCTGTCTTCACAAACCCAGCATCTGAACTTCTTTTCACATAACTTTGGAGTGTCATTCGTAGATCATTTGTGGAACTGAGAAGTCATTCCCCCAGGGAAATGCATAATCCTGGTGAAATATTTTATCAATATAAAATGTCATTCCATTTTTCTATTAAAATAGAGTCAATGAATCTAAGTCCTAAAAGGTATGATGAAGTTCTGATTTGTTTGGGTTTGTTGCTATGTTTTTATGTAGAAGCCCTTTGATGAAGGTGTAGGTAGAAATTAAGAATTTTCCAGTGAAGAAGAGATAACATTAATTAAAATGCTGCAGTGCTCTAATGGATCTGCATTCTCATCCAGCTCTTCAGCCTGTCCAATTTCGTCCCAATCACCTGTAAACTCCTCGAAGGCAGGGGCTAGTTTTTAGTCCTGTAAACTTTGTTTGCTTTATAGTGCCTGCAACAAAGTAGGTATCTCATAAATGAAATTGAATTAGATTGAAATTGATTTGTTATAGGGATTAGAATGGAAAAATGGCCCAACCAGATCCTGAAGGACACATCTATGCATGCTAAAGAGAGATATGGCAAAGCCTACCAGAGAGATTGGGCGTAAGAGGCAGCATGGGATAATTGACAGTGGGCCAGTCTTGAAGTCAGTCAAATCTCATATTGGCTGTGTGATTTTGAGTAAACTGTTTCACTTCTAGGTGCCCCCAGCAATACTGTAAGACAATCAATTTTGTCCCTTTTCCTATTCTTTTTTATTCCCAAAGACCTAGCATAGTGCCAAGGCATAGTCAGCTCTTAATAAATGACTATTGATTTGGACTTACAGAGAACTGCCACTGTGCATTGATAGAGGGAGCTTTCACACAGGGAAATCCCCCCCCCCCCAAGAGGTCCTTCATTGCACCCTCTCACTGTTAGGAAAGGATTAGAAGATAGCTTTTCCTCATTACTTACTGGCATTGGCAAGTTTTGCATAATATTCATTAATTGTCTTGGTCTTGAAACTGTTGAAGAAAAGTTTGTAAGTGTCACCTTTCATGGGCAAATTCCAATGCTGCCATTTGAAACTTCCCAACTCTTTCTTCGTTTTGGTTTCTCCCCTCATCTTAGGGCAGTGCTCCTAGAGTGGTTTGGGTGCCAGGCCAACAAATGAGGTCTCTTGTCAAACAACTCAGAATGTTCACCTTGGAAGAGAAGAATGTTAATTCCTGGCCCAAAGAAGGCAGGGCAGACACTGGCTGAATGTCTTTAGGGTCTTTTCCTGCTATGCACTAAAAACATAAATGGGGGCCCATGCCAGTGAATTGCGCCCAGAGAGTAACAGAACAGTTTTCATATCCCTACTTAACCTGTTTGTAATACGAATATTTCTGACTATTAAAAATAAAAGGGAGGGTCACTGTGGCATACTAGATAGAGTATGGGCCTCGGACAGCAAGACTGGGGCCAAGTTCTACCTTGACACACACTGGCTAGGTAAGGGATGTAACCCATTAGTGTTCTAGGCAATTCTGTAAGACTCCATGTTACAGATGAATTGCTGATCTAGCATCATCATAGCATCCTGCATTTAGAGCTGGAAGAAACCCCAGAGGCTACTTACTCTACCTCTTTCACTTTACAGATTAGGAAACTGAGGCTCAGAGAGATTGTCGTTTTCCCAAGATCACTAAGTGACCTCCTCTTCAGTGTCAGAGGAACATTTCTGAACCAGGCCTGCTGTGTCTGGGCTCACTGATCTTTTTACAGTATCAGGTTTTTATTGGTGGAGAAAGTTTCCACACCTTGAGTTCCCCTTCACTAATGAAATCACAGGTTGAATCCAATGAAAAAAAGAATAATGTTGTTTTAAAGTGAGTTTCATAAAAGTAGATCGATTGCTTGTTAGGTTAAAACATTTTAAAGTGACACCAGGCAGGTTCTTGTCCCCTGACTTTTAGCATCTTTTACCTTCCTTGCAGAAATACAAAGAGTATGAGAAGGATGTTTCAATAGAAGAAATTGATGGCCTCCAGCTGGTGAAAAAGCTGGCAAAGAATATGGAAGAGATGTTCCATAAGAAGTCCGAAGCCGTCAGGGTGAGTGTCTGGGCCTCGGCCTTCTCTTTGGGGTTTTTATGTGGCTTCCTCCTTTCTCACTGCTCAGGTAAGAGCCATGAACAGAGATGTGCTGCTGGCAAACATTTAATAACCAGTTCTTCAGGACAAAAAAATACGCATGACACATTTTTAAGTTCAACCTGCATTATCAACTTTTTGTCCATCATTCTCTTTAGTCTAGAGGTGGTCAACAATCAATCTTAACAATCAGTTTCCTAGCCTGTTCAGACTGATTCTACACATCCATAAAAAGGAAAATATTAGACTTCCACAAATATTTGGAACACTCAAGTTTCAATGGGGAGCTGGTATGAGCAACCCAGGAAGTAACCAAATGTGGTTTTATCATCTGGAAAATGGGTACTTTGCTGCCTGGAGCACTAGAAAGTGAGCTGGACTTGGAAAAAGACATACTTGGGTTGACATTCCCGGCCTTGACCCATTCTAGTTGTGTTGTCTGTCTAGGCCCTTTCCTTTTCTGAGCTTCAGTTTTCTCATCTGTAAATTAGGGATAACAATGCTTTAGCTGCCTCAGCATTATTAGAAGGAAAGCATGTTGAGAATCTTAAAATATGAAAGAAATGGGTGGTTTTTGTTATTTGCTCATTTTGGGTGCTCACATAGAGGCCTGAGCTCAAGGGCCGGGCCGCAAAACTGAATCATGATAGAAGATGTCTGGAGTGCCAGTAGCTTGAACCCAACCTAAGCAAGAAGCAGAATAACAGAAATGGAAAATATGTTAGGTTTACTAAAGTCACAGAGCAGAGCTGGAAGGAAGGTCAAAGATCGGGACAGATGAGGAAACTAAGGCAGAGAACAGTGAAATGATTTGCCTAGGGTTATGCAAGGAAGAAGAGGAAGAGAAGGAATTAGAACCCAGGTCCTCCAATAAGCACATGGTAAGTGTTTAATAAATGCTCATTGACTGTGGACTGACTTTAGCTCTGTTGCTAATGTTCTTTCTACTGTAACAATTCATAGTCACAGGGAACAAAAGTAAAAAAAAAAAAGTCCTAGTTTAGGAGTCATAGGATCTGGGTTCTAATTTTGTTGCTGTTACTTATTTCTCTTGTGAGTTTGATTATGACTCAACCTTCCTTCCTGGACTTCATTTTCCTCATCTGTAAACTGAGGGCTTGCATTCCATGGCCTTGGGCATCCTCTCCAGCTCTAAATCCATGACCACAAGATGTGTCATGAACACAGCATTGAAAAGAATGTATTTGGCCACAGAAAAAGGACATAAAACAAGCTGGAATTCATTCCTAGACAAAGCTTGGTTGGAGGCTCCTCCTACCATCTAGGCCATTGCTATATTTTCTAGTAGGGCCTTGGTGAGTGAAGTTTAGAGTTGTACAGAAACGGGAGATGGATGATCCCAAGAACCATTATTTCCCTTTCCAATGACAAAAGGCAAGTTTTGTTGCTGTTCCTGTGTTTTGTGGAGAACTTTCCACTGCAGCCAGCGGTCACACTTGAAGTAGCTCAGGCCAGAAGCTTAACAAATAGGAGGCCATGAAGACTCTCTTTTGGAGTGGAGAATTCCAAGGGAGTGATAGACCCTGACTAAAACAAAGAAAAGGAGTGGGGCAGGGGGCATGTGGGCAATTTCTGGGTGGTTGTGGGGATAAAAACCTGCAGCCCACTCCTTCCTCCTTCTTGTCCTATAAGGAAATCCCCAGTGACTGCCAACCTGTCCTCTCTCCAAGGCTCTCTCCTCTTCTTTTTCTTGGTGAACCAGCCTCTCATTGCTCACAAGCAATAGCCATCCTCATGGACCTCCAACAAGACCCTTCCTTCCTTCTTCCATTGATTGATAGGCTTAGATCTGGCAGGACCTCAGAGGTCATCTCATTCAACCCTTTCATTTTACAGGATGGAGGTCCAGTGATATGTAATGACTTGTTCGATTTGTATGGGGAAGAAGTGCAAAGTGAGGAATCAAATCTTGGGCCAATGACTTTATATCTTGCATGCCTTCTGCTGTACCACATTGCTGTAGTCCACGTTGTGGGCTTTGTATCCCAAGCTTTTTCTGCTGCCCACTTGAAACTAATAACTTCTGACATTTTTGCCTTACAATCAACTATTAGTTATTGTTATTTTTTTTATTTAGAAGAGGGGTCTTTTTTTGATGAAAACAGTAATGGATTTTTATTATACAAATCTTCGTAGCTGTGCCAACCTTTTGCAGATTGTATGGACATCTGCATTCTGGACATTGAAGAGATGGAGTCCCTAATTAAATAAATTAACTGAAAAGTTAAAGTCAGGGTTAGAATAAAGATTTGAAGATGGGGAAGGGAGAACAACTTGTGAACCTTAAGACAGACCTTTGTTGTTTTCAGGACCTTTCAATTCAATAGATGCCCTTTGGTTGGGGGCTAGAGTGAGCAAGGGGTGGGTTTAATAGATTTAGGATGCCAATTTCAGAAACCTCCTTTTTTTCTGAATAAATCTGTGAGCTGGGTCCAAAGAGTTTTGCCTGATGATAGATGCTACGTGGCTCTAGGAGAATAAAATAAAACTCATTTCTTGAATCCAAAATGGCCCTAGGATGGAGTCAGGCAGAGTTTCATGAAGCCCATTTTCTAAAATACTGCCTATTGAATTCTGAGAACAGATGTTGGTGTTGGGAAAGCTAATGTACCCAATCTCTGTGATACATTAGTAGATAGGTTTTGCTTTTCTTAAGCTCTTTAAGGGGGAAAAAAATCACCAAAGTGAGTCAGAGTTTTGTTTGGAAGCAGCTGTATGGTTGGAATTGTGCTTACTTCACACTGTGAGCTATACAGACCCATTGGAAACAGTTACCAGGCCTGTGGTCACTTAGAAAGCTATTAGGGGACATCTGAAAGGTCTGTTTAGATGCTTGTTTAACTTGGGGTGGAGGGAGAAAGAAAATCATCACATTTCCTCCTATAAAACTATGCTCCTTAAATGGGCACAAGTGCCAAAAGCTTTAAAAAACCCCTCTTGGCGTGGTGGTTCTGGGTACACCCAGAGACTATGAGGCTTAGTTCAAATTATGTTAGAGGCAGCAGGGCCCTTTCCCCCTGCCACCCACAGTGAAGGATACTCAGCTCAAATGTCAGCCTGGGTTGGGTGGTCATTTACTTGAGTTAGCTGTGTCCACCCTTCAAATACTTCCATCTGGCCTTATAGATTATAGAACGAGGGACTTCAGAAGTCATGCAGTCTACCCCCTTTGCTTTATAGGTAAGAGAAGTGAAGCCTAGTAAAAAAGCCACTCAGTGATCCACTAGCTAAGTCGTTGGCACCATCAGATGGTTCAGCATCAGAAATGGATAGGATTTTATCCATGCAGATGACATTAAGGAAGAGTCATTGACATCTACCTTGCTGCTGTGTGTTATGGGCCATGGGATCTCTCCATCAGATTTGCAGCTGAAACCTGTCTCCCTCATTAAAATGTGAATCCCTAGAGAGCGGGACTGTTTCTGTTTGTATCCCCAGAACTTGATACAAAGCTTTGTATATAGTAAGTACTTAATAAATGCATTATTCATTCAATTAGGATTTAGAACCTTTGATTCTAAAGCCAGTGTTCCTTTTAAAATATCCCTCTCAAAGACCCACATATTTATTTGTACGAGACGGGGTCCTTACTTGATGTACATTCACCCCAAGAGCCCTGAGAAAAATACCTGCTTCCATGATTGATGGCATGGTTAAGGAAAATTGGGTCCCTCTGGTTGGTTATTAACATTTCTACCTACGCATGTGAAATATTCCAAAGAATGAGCAACCCGCATGGGAACAATCCAGGGAGCTTCAGTAACAAAGAATTGTTCATCTGTGAAGTCTGTGATCAGGCAAAAAAAAAAAAGAGTCATTTTGTAAGATCCTTTCAAAAACCAACACCCAAATATCCCCACTCTTTCCTGCCTATTAATCAGGGTTAGGCTTTATTCTCTTTTGCTCAGGCTTGATTTCCTTGATTTTTTTTCCCCTTCATCCCTTTGCCCAGTGATTAGTTGATTCAGAGTGATTCTCTCATCCTCACCCATTATTTTGAATTACTCTTCAGCCTGTAATTATCCTATCACAGAAAGACCTCTTTCCCTGCTGTCAGATGTTGACAGTAAATGGGAAGCCTGAAGTGCCAGGGTCATTACATAACCTTTGTCATCTGGATGGTAATGGACGAGGGGCAACTTTATTTTTCAAGCTGACAAATTACAAATAGCCTGAGCTCTAATAATTTCCATTAACATAATGGTGTTGTCATGGGAGACATGCCTTAACTAATATTTCCTGCCTATTTTTAATGCTGTTGATGGCCCAGGTAATTGTTTGGTTCCTTTTTCTGAGGTTTGCCATATCATATTTTTAACTAATCTTAACTGGGACAGAGGCAATGAGGTTGCTGTTTGTTTCTGTTTATAAAGACAGTGCGATGAAAGGTTGCAGATGAGTTTTTAATTTTTTTTTTTACATTTTTATTTCAAGTTTTGAGTTCCAAATTCTCTCTATCCCTCCCCTCCCTTCCCTTCCCCTCCCTTAGATGGTAAGCAATCAGATATAGGTTATACATGTGCGATTATGTAGGCCATTTCCATATTAGTCATTTTATACAAGAAGACTCGAAAAAAAGAAAAAAGTGAAAGTGAAAAATAGCATGCTTCAGTCTGTATTAAAACAATACCAATTCATTCTCTGGAGGCAGACAGCATGCTTCATCATTAGTCCTTTGGGATTGTCTTGGATCATTGTATTGCTGAGAAGAGCTAAATCATTCAAAACTGAACAATATTGTTATTACTCTGTGCAGTGTTCCCCTGGTTCTGTTCACTTTGCATCAGTTCATGTAAGTCTTTCCAGATTTTTCTGAAATCATCCTGCTTGTTGTTTCTTATAGCATATTTAAACTGTTGGAGCCCTCAATTAATTTGACCAGGTGCTTTATCTAATTTTGAAATTCCTTCATATGAAAAGAAAATTGAATCAGTGTTAAT